AGAACCGTTTTCTTAGATTGTGGAACCATGAGAGTATTTCAGTTTTTATTTCTTTGGGTCAGTTCCCACTTCGAATTCTTTTGGCATTCTGCAATCATTCAATATCCGTAAAAGAGACCCATGAACATTTAGCATCGGAGTGGACGGACCTGATGATCTACTTGGATGTTGATTAACTGATAATTCATCCAACTGGGATGGTGTTCTTGCTGACATTCAGATATTTTGTTTTTTTTTACCCTAAAGCAAAAAACCCAAACTGTACTGAATTCGTGTAATCTCATAAGTATAGGGGATTGTACACAGTCCTATATGTTTTTATTTCCTCGATCAGTTTTTCCAATTGTAATATATATTTTTTATTAATCTCACTCCAGGATCCACATCCCGTTGTCGTTTTTTACTCTGTCGAATGCTTTCTGATAGCCGGATAGCCCATGAAACAAACATATAAATCAAAGTTGATGGCCGTGCAACGCTGAAATAACACCTGAATCGCGAAGAGTGCCTCTCTTCTTTTGTAGATTTTCTTATACAAGGAAAGTTTTGCGAAGGTGACTCTTTATCTGATAATCCTATAATATTTTTTTCGACATAGACGCAGGGGTTTTCCACCAATAGCAAATCATGCAACAAAATTTGTTTACTTTAATTTTCTCGCATGATATTGGTGAAAGGTTAAGATTGGTTCGTTGTTTAGAGGTTTCTATTTATTCTCGGATTTTCTTACAAGAATTTTAGTTAGGTCGGTTAAGATTGGATGTCCGGTTTGATAATTATTTTCGGCAACCGCTGATAAATTTATTTGTCTTAGTCGTAAGGCTCTTTCATTTTCTTTTAGCCTAGTTGATATTTTTCGTCCTTCTCAGCAGTCCTGGGGTCTCGAATGAAATTTTGTTTTTGATGGATCGAACATGTTGAGAAATTTTTGGACTGGTCGGTAATATTTTCAATATAAGTAAGAACGAAGTGTGGGGTTGCTTTCAAACTCATTTTCTTTCGGAATTTTTGGTTTGGTTCTAATGTGGAAAGTATTTGAAAGGAGAGTAAATTTCGGGTGTTTCAATTCTGGGTCCAGTGATTTGGGTTGAGATAGTTTTACCACTATGTAAACAAGAAAGGTAATAACCGATGATGGATGTGATATGTGCGTAGGTTTTCTGTGACCCTAATGACACAATGTTAGGCTTGATTTTTTATTTATAAGAGTATTTAAAGAATACTAGAGTTTAAATGGAAGAAAATCTCGGAACGATTCTTGACTATCAGGCCAAATAACAAAAGTATCATCAACGTAGTGTCTCTATAGTTATGGTTTTAGATGGAAAGTGTTGATGGCTTACTTCTCAAATGCTTCCATAAATGTATTTGCAATGACTGGTGATAATGGAGAACAAATAGCTGTTTCTGATATTTGTTCCTAAATTTGTCGGTTAAAAGCAAAATATGATCCAGAGAAGTTTTTTCAATTAAGATGGGAAAATTTGATTCCAGATCCTCGGTACATAGTTTAAATCTAATGAAGTGTTTTTTAGTTGTTCAATGAAGTCAAAGGAATTAGGTGCCAAACTGTCAGTCTTACTTGTAAAATATCCAACAGGTCGAAAGGGTAACAGCGGTTTGTGAACTTTTTGCAGTGCGTAAAAGCGAGAAATTTTAGAGCCATGAGTGGTGACAAATTTCTTTACGGTGTCATTGGAAATTCATGTGTGATTTGAAAATCCCGCGACAAGCATCATTTTCTTCGAGAATAGCAAATCCCCTCTGACGGACAACTTCGACCTATACAAAGCGCATTCTTCCTTCCTATTAACACCGCACCGAGGTGGATGTAGGTATAAATTTTGCTTTCCGGCCGTAAATAAATTCACGTCCGCGAGAGATAGTTGCTGGTGAAAAATATATATAAAGTCGTGTTCGGTAATTTCCCGATAAATCAAAAGTCCTTATATGTCCCGGCCGAGTCAGAGCTCTTTCGTTTTATATTTCAACTTGTTTTTGAATAATTTCGCGTTTGGCCGTTGCCCCTTTTTTTCTCGCTCTCTCTCTCGTATAATTGAATTTTTAATTGATAAACATAAATCTCGGCGGGCGATATCCGATGTTCCGTCAGGCCGCGAAGGTCCTTTTACGAGTCAATTATTGTAATTGTTGGCTTTTACGGTCGGTGCGACACGACGGGGCGTGGCTTGGACAAACAATGAAAATCGACTCTGTCGACAGATATTATAGCGAATGCAGGTGGATTTCGCAAAAGTCCTTCTCGCGTTTAACGAGCTGGACTTTTGCAGTAGACAAGCTCGGAAATGGGAACTTTTATTGTACAGTATGTCCGATTTTCATTATAGACTGAATGAAAAAAGTCAGTGTTATTAATAAAAAAGTACATCAAATCAATGAAATTCAACATTAATTTTGAGGCAACGATCGGTGTCATTTAGACAATAAACGATATTAAATTAATTTGCTTGATTTTCGATCGTAAAAGTACAACAAACATTAATCTGTGATAGCTGTAGATTAAAACAATGAACAGTGAGATATATCCATGACTGCCCGTGATGGCTCAGCGTTTCAGCGCTTACCAATGTTACAAACAGAATGAACTGTTTCTTTTTCTAAAATATCAGGACTATTTTCTTAAAAGGAGCTATTTTATCTTTGATACAAAATTTACAAGGAGGCTGCTTGTTAAATCATGTTTTAACTCGTTACAAATGATATAAATGAACTGTATAACATTCTCAGCTATGTATGTGAAGGTGACTTTCCATCTCAATGGAAAACGGCCTATATTTCTATCCTCGGTAAGAAAAGCGACCGTTAAATTTGTGCAAAGTATAGAGGGTTAGATTAGCCCAAACTGGATTTAGAACCGGATGATCATGCCATGACAACGTTTTCTGTTTAAAAAGAATTTATAGAGAAACGAACAGAAAGCAACCTAAAGACACATTTGGTATTCATTGCTTTGCAGAAAGCATACGATAGTGCACCACTTAACAAACTGTGCCCCTCCCAAATTTCGCAGACTGTCTGAAATTAGATTACTAGTATAAGAAATGGGGTTGAGCAATAAACATCTGGAATGGAGGAAAAGGAGACATAACACTAGGTCGTGGAGTGATAAAAGCAGCCGATGCGGTACTTCAGTATTTCAAGTTCAACTGAATGTAAAACTAAAAAACGTATTGCACAAGTGAGAATTATAACGAAATAATTACATTTTATACTATTTAGTAAACAGATAAGATTCAACACACAATGACAACATTTTGGAGAAGCTGCTGTGGACTTACACTAGAAGATAAGACAAGGGTGAGAAATGACGATATTAAAAACTGAATGGGAATCGCAACTAGCATCGTGAACACAATTGAGCCAAAAAATTCAGGATGGTCTGCACAAGTGTGTCGCACGGAGAAGGAAAGATGACCATTGAAATTATTTCATTGCCTGACACCACAAAAGCGCAGTCCCAGAAAATCATGGCTAAAATATGTTCAAGGAGCAATGAGCAAAACTGCGCCAACAGGGGTGATATTGGGCCATTTGGAGACTGTGATGCGAGAAACGACAGTAGTGTTGTATAAACCGCAATATATATCATTTGCATTAACGGAGTCTAGCAACGAAAAGTGATATATATCCCTCCACAGAGAAACGTGGAGTGCAATGTGAATCATAATATTAATGTTAGAAATATTGATGACAATTTGTTAATTTTACATACAAAATTTTTCGTGCAGCTTTCCCTGCCGCAAAGGAAATATTCCAACCTCGTTTAATTTTTGAGATACCGGGCTCCCCTCATATCCATGTTATCTTTCATTTATCCGAAAAGGAGAAAACTATTTCCTATTGCTTCTTTGTCGGTTTCGGAATAAGCGTCCCAGATCATGTCTTAATTTTTTAAATGGGACACCTGGTATATTTTTACGCATTCTTATTCAACTTTCAACGTTTTCAGCTTTTCAGTTGTGTATTTATATTTTAAAAAGTAAGGTAAAAATGTAAAGTTCTGGGAATGTTATATTTTTTAACGGTATGTTATAATTTGATATATTTTTTTTTATTTGAAAACTGTGAACAATATGATGATTAGTATTACAGACAGAAAATGAAATAAATATTTATTAAGACATTACTTATTTGATTAGATTTCAGAATTATTGCGCTAAATGATTATTCCTGATAATTATTTATTTACACAAATTCCTTACGAATTTGTCTTACGTCAATGTTGTCACGTATTTGATAAATTGATAAAGTTTTGATCAACTTCGAAAAGGAGCGCTCACTACCGAAACAAGGAAGTGTAAGTAACATTTAAAAATTTTTGGTTAAGAGAAATTACTGTTATCAGAAAATTTTTCGAAATATAATCATACCTATATATTTTTCGCACTCTTTTCTAATCCTGTGTTGAAATTATTATATTTCTGGATGCAGTTGCGCTAATAATTGATGACTGGTGTTATCTTTAAAGGTATTATATGAGTAAAAAAAAATTGAATTTTGAGGTGTTGGAAATATGTAGATTTAGTAGTATAGAATTTCATTGACGTTCCTAGCAACAAACGACATTAAACACGAATCTCTCTTCTTGCTCTCGAGTGTCTATCACACGACCAATATTGCGTATTCTGTGTAAAAACATCCATTTTGTAGAGTTTATATTTATGTTGTTCAACGTCTCAAATTAATTCGGTACACTTCCTTATTTTCTTTATTGTATAATCTCGCTCTTTGCTTTTTAAAGAAGCCTTAGAATGTGATCTAGGTTTTAAGAAAGTCTAGAGATTACCAAAAGACAATACCTGTTGAAATAAAAAATGATGAGGTGTTACCGTTTATCATACTATATCCAATAACACGGAATATCCGAATGGAGATCAGTTACTATTCGAATGATTCAACGAAAAAAATTTCGCTTTGGCAATTATTTATATTGTAGACAACAATTAGGTTGGTACTAAGTCGTTTTCTCCTTATTGCAGGAAATATTCCAGAGAGCGCAGGAAACACAAGCAGAGCATAGATTTCCGGTAAGTTCGGCAATTTACAGCCACCAGTCGCCACCCGCGGGTTTCGATCGCTGTACACAGGGCGCACGCAATGCGAAACTCCTAAGTCGCCATTTTGTAGATTCCAACTCTTACGGTCATAATTATTTTTGCTTAGTTTAAATTAGCGTTCTGGAAAAAATTATCTAAAATCGACAATTATTTTAATCATTCAACACCTTGTGTTTCGGAAATTAAGCGAGTCACTTGGGTGCCATTTTGGTGGATTGCATAGCTTTATCGGTGGTGATCGCAATTGTTTTATAACGAATCTTGTTCGTCTCCATGTCTCTTGCACAGTGTTCTAGTGCCGCGCTCTTTGCTTGTAACACTGCTGGTAGCTTTTCCATTCAAATAAAAATTTTTGTTCGATGTTTATTCTCTTATTGACCATATTCTAATTCCAAATAATCTAGAAAATTTTGTGTGCTGTATATTTGATTTTGGATCAGATATCTCGGATCATGCTTGTCTCAAACTTGTCTCTGGTTGAAGCCCTATATTGAGGGTATATTTGAAGAATATTGAGGATTCTATTAATGTATTAAATATTTTTAATATGTTAGCAGCGAAAATACTTCTCTTTCACAGACGGTAACAAGCAGCAGCCGAACACTTCATTAATGCAAATAAATCGGACTCAAAGCAATTAAACAATTATAAACAAACAACAAAATTGATGTTCCTGGCCTTTAAATAATCCCGAAATTAATAACAATTTCATTAAGAACTGCGGTACTATATGTCCACCTAATAAGAATTTACTAATTTTTACAATCAAAATACAAAGAAAAAGTTTAATAGATTGCTTGGTTTTTCCACAGGTACAGAGAACGAGTTTAAGAGGCATATTTTAGAAATTAAATCTCTTGCGATGGTGTGGAGAAATTGAACTTGGAAATAATATCTCTGTGCCTTGATAAAATATTAATATAATAATATAATTAATACCTCTGCATTATCGAATCCGTATTTCCTAAGACTTTTAAATTCTAAATAATTTCTAAGGTCCTTCCATTACCTAAATCAATCAATAGCGAGACTTCAATTTATTTTCGATTATGGTTAAAGGGGGGGAGAAAAACTCAGAGTGATTCATTTATTCGGCCTTTCAATCACGTATAAACTCTCTCGCGTATATCGGAAAACAAAGAGAGGCGCTATCCTACGCTCGTACATGGGAAAATTGCTTTTTGCATGGACGACGCTATTATTTATTAATATTAGCCCACGCGCGATCGCGCCAAATTGATTTTAAAAAAGTCGGAAAACAAAACCGGTGAAATACAATGACCTATCGTGGCGGGCGCGGTAATTGCGTGCCGCTCATTATCTCGTTTTCGTAGCGTTTCTCTACATCGACGGTGGAGTATTGTTCGGTCGTGAGAAATGACGTCGTTCCATTGACATATCGATCGGCTCGCGAGTGGTTTTCGGCAAATTATCTCGATGGTTTTCTTAACCATTGTCCTTTAGACTTGCGAATGTAGATTGCATTTGAAGCCCCCATCCCATCCAGTTATCCTTTATCCACGAACTCCGAACGAGTCAAACAATAAAATTCTTAAAAAAACATTCAGCTGAGAGGCTCTATAAACTGCGCAAATCAAAAGGTATTCTTTAAATTAATAACTATTAAGAATTTTGAAAAGGCAAAAAGAAAAATCCGCGGGCAGTTACCCTTCTTCTGCGTCTGACTCTGTCTTACTGGCTTCTTCAGAGCGCTGTCTGAAACTGGAGGCTGATTGCTTGAGGAGCAACTCGAATACCTGCAAGGGGGCGAGGGCAGTGAGTAAGGGGATTTAATTGCTGAAAAAATAGTCATGGATAAGTTTCATTGAAAACAAAAACTATGGAAGAGGCCAGAAATTTCTAGATTCTATATAAACAGATGAAAATTTTTATTTAGGCGTTACACTGTAGGTCCCTTTTATATGTGCATCCACTTTGGTCGAACAACACAGATAGATGCAAGAAGTTGCTAACGCCCGAAATTTGGGCATGGCACACTACGAGAAGAAGAGAAGCCGTTTCAAACGTATAAAAATTTTCCTCCGGAAATGCATCATTTTGATTTTTGAAACTGTAGAATAGACGAAATTAATTACATTATGACTGAAAGTAACCAAGAATTAAGAGCTAAATAACTGATTTTGATTATTCTGAAATTCGAAAATTGGAAATGATACATTTTTTATGCAATTCGATTATGAAAAAAATATGTTCGCCTTTTAGAACTACAAACAAACATAAAAATAAACATTTTCCTCCGGAGATGCGGACTTTTTGGAATTCAGAATAACCGAAATCAGCTATATTAAAACTGAAATTCACCAAGAGCTCAGAGCAAATATAAACTATTCTGAAGTTTCATGTTTCACACATTCTCAATGGAACTTTTTTGGCTTCATTTTTTACAAATGTGTGTTTTGGCTATTTAGCACTAACGCTGTAATTAGTATTTTTATTTTCGTTTCGAAATATATAAATTTAGTGACAATAATTAACGAAATGTTTGGCCATATTTACAAACATTTTATATTAGTAGGATCACAATAATTTCAAAATTGATCGAAGGCGCGAAAACGCAGATAGTATATGGAATTATATTAAAAAAACATTTTTTTTTGGGTCCGCTCTTTACTTCCGTATACTAGATTTTCATCATCCATGTGTTATATAACAACAATAACAATAATAATAATAATAATAATAGTAATAATGACAATGATAATAATGATAATAATAATAATAATTAATTAATCAATCAATCAACAAATTTTTGTATATCTATGTTTATAAAGGCTTCTAAATGATGAAGATAAAAGTCTCCCGAGACAGCAAGTGTTTACAGTATTCCGTGCATAAATCGGAGAAATAGGTAGAAAAATATCAACAAAGGATGCTGTATAAAACTGATGTCTCAAATACTTGCCGAATGGCAATGGGGCTTGAAGCAGGAGAAATCCAGAAGAAATGTACCTACAGGTACTTTGGTTCATTAATGCGTTTGTTTGATAATTTGAACTAACAGGGGCAACATTGACTCACTAAGCGAACACTAAAATGAGGTTGTAAATTATGCACTTCAATGTTGACACGCCACCAATGAACAGCCAGTACTGTTTTGATGGACACCTAGATGATTCTGTTAATAACGATCGTGAATAAAATTTTAAATACTGCAATAAACTTATGCCTTTTTTACAACAAGAAGCAAAACCAAACTGCTTGATAATATAATACACTATTTTTAATAGTTAGCACACACTACTTTGAGATCGGATCCAATTCATATTTTCCGTTATGTCATTATAGTTACCCGACATTAATTTTCTTTTTTATTTCTCACTTTGTGTGGGTACAGTGTTCATTGGGATACTGCAAGATGACTCCGATTATCGTAAATTACAGACCTTCCTGGCAATATAATACGAGACAATCTGTAATGTGCTACTAATGTCTGTGGCGGAACTCAAACTTTTTGCTGACAATGAGTGGTAGCATTGTTGAATCTGCATTTGCAAATTTATTCGAAATTGAACTGTGCAAGTTATTATTATTAGAAATGGCACTATTCACGAGTTTTACTGATCTATTCCCTCAAATCTTGAACGGTTATAAACCAGTTTGGTGTTTGTAAACGTTTGACTATCGTTTTATCAAATTACAAACTGCTGCACAATAATCAAAGGAAGGTCAACTCAGACAGCAATTTTCCAATTTGTTAAAATATTGTTGCAATTTTTTTAAAAAGAGGAAGCAGCAACTGGGATGTTTTTAGACTTAACCAAGACCTATGGAAACTGGAAAGTTACGGAGTTAAGGCAATGCACTTAAATGGTTGAAGATTATCTTAATTGGCGAATGCAAGTTGTAGAGGTTAACAAAAATGATGAATCAGTAAGTCTGGAATCCTACCGAACAAGTATAAAGTTGCACAGGGTAGTATTTTGGGGCCAATCTTATTTGTAATTTTCATAAATGACCTATAACTTGTCTCAGAACAACTAGGCTAAACAGTACTTAACTATGCAGATGATACAAATTTGATAAACTATGGCAGTATTTTTTTCATTTGAACAAAAAACTGATTTAATCAAAATAACTAATCCTTTACACAAATAAAATGCAGGCAATACTTTTTACAATAAGAGGCCCCAAATTGGAAAATATTACGGAGTTTGAAATCGAGGAGCATATATTTGATATTTCAGATAATGCCAAGTTTTTGGGTGTGTTCATTGATAAAGATTTGGACTGGGCATGCCATATAAATCAGTTACAAAATAGATTAAATTCGATCTGTTCCTGTTAAATATTTCGATAATTTAACATTAGCAATACTTTATTTTGCAAATTTCAGATCGGTACTTAAGTATGGAATATTTTGGGGCCGGCATTGTGGGATACAAGATACTTTTGTATCACAAAAAGAACAATTCGAGTTGTAAATAAAATAGGCCGGATTGAATCATGTCGAAATGTGTTCAGAGAAATGGGGATCTTGACCGTGCACGCTTTATACATCTTCTGCCTGACACTTTTGTTACCTTATTTGACTTCGTTTCAATTTGTTATGTAAGAAGTTTGAAATAAATATTATTATTATTATTATTATTATTATTATTATTATTATTATTATTATTATTATTATTATTATTATTATTATTGAAACATGTCCATTCGTTCATGGCATGATCAATCTTATGCCGACACCATCTACAATCGTTTTTATCATTTCAAACACCCCATCGAACACAAAAGGCTTGATGTAGGTTAGTTGTGGACGTTAGGCTCGGACGCGATAAACAGACATCAAAACACCACTCGGCTCAGGCGGCCCATAACATTAATCCACTTAATTCTGATGTATTGCCGTCGTCCTAATGGATAAATTTTATCGCTCGTCTTTCATATGAAAGCTGAAAAATAGGACGGGCGATTGAAGGTGTCTTATTTTTAGTCTGGTCCGTGCGATA